ATTGGTATGAAAAACTCAGTCAGCATTTGACTCAATGATAAATTGTATTTGCTGACAAGGTCATTGTATCGACCATAGAATTTACGAAATGATGACTTTAAACGAGACTGTTTATCATGATAAGAAAATGTTAAACAAACCTATATGAATAATTACTACATCTAGAAATTTTCTTAAATTGAATTTCGGTTAGAAACACATGCATATGGTCCACGTATTGCAGTCCTTTTTTAAGGACGGCAACTTGTAATTTACTTTATATGCAATGTTTAAAATTAAGAGCAGTTATTGAATGAATAAATAAATGCTATCATGTATATTAATAAGGTCTATATAAGCAATTCCATGCTAAGTCTTTTGGTACGTTATTTTAAGCTTAAATATATTGCATATCGAAAAATGTTTTAATAAATGATTATGGGGAAATACTCTGAAAAGTCTTAAATACATGGACCTTGATTTTTGATATTTAAACAACCCCTCCGAAAAATGCGTATTACTAAACCTATCTTACCTCCAAATCGACATCAGGCTCCTATATTGTCACCCGTGACTGGCCGAAAAAAAACCCAGCATCCATGATAAACCTGTATATATTACTGTACCTTAAGCTTCTCTTTTCACTCTGTATATAAGTTAGGAGCAATGTGGCTGCATTAGTAGGATCTGCTTCGATGCGTTTATTCCAAAGATTGTCATTGCATTTAAATAATCGAAATGCAACGAAAAGTAATCGTATCATTTCTAATTGAACCTCTACTAAAGTGACCTGGATTTTTTTAGCTGAAATTTGCAGTCAAAACTTTGTCAAAAGGGGATTCAAGCCACCATGGCACCTGATCCAACCTCTGATGTTTTAGAGGTCCATATACGCTCTTCTTCTGTATTATACTTCTTCAAAAAAAAAAAAAATGAGCTTGAATTCAGTTCGCTATCTTTATATTTTTCACTTGTTTAAATTTACATTTGAGATTAATACTGTTCATTATCTCAATATTTCATTCCATATATCAGTAACGGTTAAAAGGACAATGTTATTTTTCTTAAATGAATAATAAAACTTAAAACTTCAGTAGTATAATTGTAAAAAACTTCGGCATCGGGCGACATAGCTGCAGAACTGTAGCTCTCCGAAAGAAAAATAGACCAACCGGAGAGCTACAGTACCACCTATTGTAAAAACTTCATATTTATTGCGCACAAAAATTTGCGCTTAGTTCTGGATTAATTCTTCCAAATTCTTACCTAAATTGCAAAAAAGATAAATCTAAAAAAAATCCTTATACTCCTCTTTGAAGTACTCTCGAAGTGCGTTGGACCGAATTATCTTGCAATCCATAATGGCAGTATGAATAGACGATATTTTCGAGGATCTCAATTTCAGGACCATGAGGGCTATTAACAACATTTATAAGGAATGTTTTGTTGTGGAAATAGTGAAAGAATATGTTAGGAACACACGGTTAGTAATATTTAAAGATGGCAGTGTAAAAACATGGAGAAATGCATCGAGAAACAGCGCATTTTTTTGTGCACTATAAATACACATTTTTTTCAATAGGTGGCACTGTAGCTGTCAATATATTTTTTCGGTGAGCTACGTTCTGCAGGTATGGGCGACATAACACTTCAGGGCTTTCCTGTCACCTTGGAGAATATATTTATAATATGGTATATGTATTTGCATAACATTTTCTAGATACATCTGATGTGAGCTACGGTATAATTTAGGTTTGGTGTAGAAGGATGAGAGAAACAAAAAAGGGGACCTAATAGACAAATTCTACGACGACTTTGTAGTCCGGATCTTTTAAACTTTGATATAAAGAATCAGGTCTCGAAGTGACCTCTAAAATCTTGGCGCGAGCTGGTTTTTCGTGAAAAATGTAAAATAAAAAAAAAAATGTCGCCAATGCAATGTTTTAGTCACTTTCATATTTTTTTCGTTGTCAATTTAGATATATGGACTCATTTGGTGAACCCTAGGGAGAGAAAGAGGTGGATTGCAATGATAAAGATTCTGGTTTCCTCGCCAGATAAAAATGTTTAAAAAATTAAAAGTTTGGAATTTGATGATCGCCAACTAAATTTCAACTGCTCAAATGACTTATAGATAATAATTAGGTTATTAAAATTTTAGGTGCCAATAAGACCCCCTGAAGATATATAAAACATTTCTGAAATAGCATTTTCATAAATCGAAATTCTATGAAAGTTCACATTCAAATGTATGATGTAAAGTACAAAAGATATTACATCCTTACTTTTCTTTTGCAAGAACTTTAATGTTATCATGTCAGAACAAAATTTTATTAAGTTGAATCAGTCCCATTCAATACATATCATAAAATATGTAACATGTACTTATATTTTTTTATTTTTATCTATCTCGATCATACTAAAAGACTTCATGATGAAAATAATAGTATTTTTGTATAAATCAATATCTTCAATCATTCTGAGAGTATTATATAAGTAATGCTTACTGCCTAATGACATTTTAATTTAATAAAAAGGCTTATTTTCCATGAAAAAAATATTGAACCGAATCAAAATGAAAGAAAAAGAAATTTAATCTATAAATACTTCAGGTAGACCCACATTCTCCTAACTCGTATGTGTGAACTGTTGTTTAAAATGCAAGAGATGTCGATACCCCGAAAAGCGTTGTGCGAAGAAATATTGAAAAATACATTAAATGTCATTGGTAAATTAAAAAAAAAGCTAAATCAATTTTGAAATTGCATTTCAATTATCCCTTTTATGTGCAAGGAATTATATATATTCTATTTAAGATTATTTATGCAGAGATACTTGAATAAGATGGTATGTCATAAAGTTGGGAGGTTCAGTGTCACTTAAACAATAAAATGCTTTCTTTGGTTGTTAGTGAGAAAATAAATGTCGGGGCTGTTGCAGAAAAAATACATAACCGGGTTATGTAATTTTTTTCTGCAATAGCTGCAACAGTCATTCTCGTACTAACAACCAAAATTAGATATTTTATTGTTTGTATTTATCTAATTATGCTTAAATAATCATTTAAGGTAGGATTAAAAAGATCAATTATCTTATTAATGATGCGAACGACTTTGTTCGTTTTATTGATGGAACAGCCACTGATCAAGAAATCAGTACAGATGACATGCCTATCGTAGTTCATGCACTGATTAACGCAAAATGTTGTCTTAAGAAAGGAGAAAATATTCAGTGGATGTAATTCTAAAGTTTCGAAAGGTCTCTGATAATATTAAGCTGAATTATTGTGAGGTTATTGAATACAATGGTATGTCGTTAAGTAGGGAGGTTCAGTATCACAAAGTTTTTAAGATTTGTAAAATGGAAAATTTTATAATGCTGGGTGAAAAATTAGCGTAGAGAATTATTTTAAAATCTACAAAATGTTCCCATGTTATTAAAAAAAATGTTAACTTGCAGTGTCATAAAATGTTTTCCCAAATCTAATGTGTACGAGGGTTGTTCAATAAATAATTTCCTGAACTGCATGACACACAAAACAGATATAATATGACATTAAACTTGACTTTCTCTCATTATTGAATCTTTACTGAATTTAAAACATTTTATGTGAACACTTTTCAACACATAGTTTCATCGTGAGAAGCTGGAAAACAAGGGCTTTTCGAGACACTGCATTATAAATGTATGGTAAAGTATCAGTAAACTAGAGTGAAAATAAAAGCTACATTAAAGCTGCTGTAAAACTTGTTAAAAATCCAAAAGAAATATTCATAGAAATATGTGTCATTTACAGCAACCGATGCCTGTTTTATAGACAAATGAGCAGGTGGATTTCAATGATGAAAAACTATATAATGGCCATAAAAAATGGGTCCCCTCCTTGCCAACAAAAATTATAACAACTTATATACTGTTTGCCAAATTTAAACAAATAATATTTGATGATGTATGATTGACTTTAAGACACATAGCATATTTGATAGACATCATATCGGGAGTAATTTACACTGTTTTGAAGAAACGTTTGACAGTAAAAAAGCGTAGTACTCAGAGGTTACCCTAAATCTTGAAAAATGAGTGAAAACGAAAGTGTGTACGAAAGTCTTAACAATTCTTTTGAAATATCAGTAATTGTTGTTATCCACGTTTGTTTTATATTCAAAAAGATATTGGAACATGAATCTATTGCTAAAAATCATCAAAACAAAATTTACTATAAGTTGTACTTGATAAAAACGGCGAAGGTCTGAATAAATCAAAGTTATGCAAGAGCACAAAGACAGATTTATATGCAATTTTCTTAAATATAGGTGGTACTGTTGTTCAAATTCGTATTCGGGGAGACAGTTTAATATCTGGAGGAGTCTAGAAAATCGAAATGTTTATTAGAGGAAGGACCCAGAATCAGGAATCCACTACATTGAATTTCTTCATGACAGCGTCCAAACCCGCATGCCTTGAAGAGTTAAGGGGTTTTCGGGATAAACAGAAAGTTAATGTTTTTTCACATTACAATATTTGCCAGATCTTTGACCTTTTTACTTGTTTCTATTTCCAAACTTGAAAAAAAACCTTTCAGAAGGAAAAAACAAGTCCATGAAGTTATTGGATCTGCCATTCTCCAGTATACTTAGGGTCATACCCAAAAATGAGTTTTAAAAACAATCAGAAATTGGATAAAACATGATACGGACATGTGTTTGAATTAAAAGAGATTAATAAGTAAAATCATGGTGACTAAATCATTGAAAAGCGACGTTTGCTTCTTTTTGAGCACCGAGGACATTATTTATTGAAAAGCCCTCATATATCATTTGTTTAATTAAAGTTATCAACTTTTAGTTATTGCATGTGCGACGCTTCTGTTACCGAACTATATGAGATTTTGACTAAATTGACGGAATAGTCCAATTCATGGATATACATGTATTTAATATTACCTGTGTTTAAAATCTGGTGAATTGAATATTTAAAAAAAATATTGAATCTACTTTATCAATTATTTACATTTTTTGCAGAAAATGACGATTGGAAGGATACCCTATATGAAATCATTCATTCTCTTGATTATCATGGAAAGTGGATTCGTAAGTAGTATTGGTGATTAAATTATTATATTGTTGAGACAAAGATTGAGAAGGTGTATACATGTTATAAAAATACCATGCAAAGTGCAAGCGGCGTAAACATGGGTCTAAAATATATTTTCAGAATCATAAGTATTGAGAATGCATTCATTTTTTTATTATTCAAAGAACTGTTTTTCTCTTAGCAATCTGAGATTATGATGATTGCTAAGAAAGATATTATTTTATCTGTGTGATTTTTTTAAGGATTTTACACAATATATCAAAAAATTGAATTGAGCGACGGGACAAGATCCTATTTTCTAAAGGAAAATAAGCAGACAAATGAATCATTTTCAGTGTTTTCTGCGTACAAATTAGAAAAGTACCAATTTAATAAGGCCAAGAATCCAGAATGGTTCTCTTTCATTCAATATTCTTTATTAATTTATCATATTCATCTATGTCAAGGCTAACAATATAACTTTTGGAGAATATTTAATTTTTAGGGCACAATAAAGCAAAAACCATTCCTTACCTTCTTTTCGTATTCTTAGTTTACAAATGGGTTCAGAGGATTTCCAGTCTTCACTGTTGATGTCTGTCCTAGCAACATAACTGAATGGGAGGCTGCTTCTATGAGACTGAACTGTACAATGAAATCAAACGACTTCAAGAATAGATACCACTGTTTGGCCACCAGAGACCGTTCACAACTGGTGGAGTTCTGTTATCCACAGATCAGGAGTATATATGGAAAAGGTTCATATTCTCTGCATCATTCAAGAACTATTATGCCCATTCTTTCAATATCATATTTTCAAATATTCATTCCACTATTGGTTCAATACGCATACATGCAATGCATCCGTATCCTTTTAAGTGATATATCAATAAAAAATTGAATTGTTTATAATGATATTTCAATAGAAAAATTGAATTGTAAGAAAAAGTTGATTCATTTTTCTGAAAGCAAAATATGCGAATTAATAAATCTAATGCCATGGGTTTTCGGTATTATAGGTCAATGTGTTATTTTTGATTCTTCGTTTTTCTTGGACAATTACACTTGCCTTCATTTTACTGATGGATGTCCGGATACATATTATTTCACCGACCAGTTATACAAATGTAAGTTTCTTGATTGATACTGAGATTTATTTAAATCTGTTAGATTATTGCAAAATGTTTGACTAATCTACGAACAATTTTATTTTATTAGAATACCTTCGTTATGATCTCATATAATGTTTTATCTCTCTACCCTTTTCTTTCTCTTTCTTTCATGTGTTTTTATCCAGTTTTTGCAATGTTTCTTATTTTTCATTGTATTTTTGTGTTTTTCTGACAGTCCCAAATTGCTTCCGCATTGAACCTGTATTAAAATGTTTTATGTCCGAGGAATTGTGTCTGAAGAAGAAGCGGTAATTTTGCAATTTATTTGCAAAACATATTAATAAAGCAAAAGAATAAGAGGGCTTGGAATTTGTAACAGTGTGGCTTTAAGAATACATGCTATACTGGCTTTCCTTCCTTTCAGAGTTACAATCGAAAATAAAGAGGTATCAACATCCCAAACAAATACTGCACAGAATCAAACAACAAAGATACAGGAAGGGATAGATTTGGTACCTGTACTGGTCCCCTCGATAATCCTTCCAGGGATCGTTTTTGGAATTGTTTTTTTTTATATTGGTGCTGTGGAGAACAAAACGATGCAAAGGAGTTCTCAGAATAAAATGTCTGCAGGAAAATTTGGAGAATGACAAAAATTTTGAGAGCATGTCATTGATAAATAGTAAATTCGCTATTTGATATATTTCTATCAGTTCAAGTTTATGTTCAGAATATCTATTAAGGTGAAAACAGAGTACGGCAGAAAGTCTAAATGTCATTAACATAGAATGTGTACGATGTTTAACGAGTCAATGAAATACGACGATAACGAAGTGATCTTTCTAAGAATTCAATTTAAACAATATAGATTATGAGAAGAGTCAGCATAGACCTCTGAAATCAAAGATGGGATAAGATGCTATTTAGGATTATGCATCTTCTTTAATTAATATCCATGATCGGGTTACCGGAATAATCCATCCGTAAACAATTCAATGTAAAACTTATGTTCTAACAATTAATGTCAAAATAGTCATTAAGAACAGACAACAGAATCATCATTTCTGTTACCTTTGCCATGATTTTTACTACAATTGTACAAATTTTTCAGATCAGGATTGCCGTCCAGACTCATCAAGAAATCGGAATGATGCCAAGGAAAATGACATCTTGATAGACAAATATCAACAAGACGACATGATTTATACAAGAAAAAAACATATTGAAGGATTTAATGGACAAAAAAGTAAAGACAAAACATTAAGATCTTAAATAAAGTATATGGCGTAATTACATGTAAATGTCATATTTCTTTTTGTTTGTTTTTTTTTCTCCAATTTTAAAGGTAACACATTAGAAATTATCAAGGATATTTGAATATAAATCTACTCTTAGTACATATTTACTCATATATACTAAAGCATAACATAAATTTGGAAGGAGAATTGTCCGAGATATTTTGCAAATTTCTATTTTGAATCAACTTGACTTTTTTTGCAGCTTTGAACTTGTAACTCTATTAATCATCTTACAATTAAATTCCTTTCTTGGTTATTATGAGCATTAATTATAATGTTGATTTAAAAAGAAGATCCATTGAAATAAAATATTGCAAATCTAATATGATAAATGATTGAGTGCCCATTTTATACCGATAAAATATTTTATCCATAATTAACTATGTTCGAATCCCAATATTCCATTATAGCATACTTTTATGTAGTTTCGAAATTATCTCCCTTGGTGCGCTCTTTCGTTGAGGAAGGGAGTTTCGTTGCCGCGTTCACAGACAGGTGGGACAGATATTTATTTCTACTAGATATACATGTACTGCATCATCGATATACTGGTTTATCGTAACTACATAATTGTCAGGATGCAATCTTCAACTCGAAAATAACCGAAGTAATATAAAGGTGTCATTTTTTAAAGCAAAAAAATCAGATCAAAAAAGAAAATAACAGTGGATGTGAGACTTTTCAGACGGGAGAAGAGATATATACCTCCAATATATACGGTATACATTCATCTGACCATTGCACGTCGGAAATCTAAATGACAAATTGCTTTTTTTTCCTTATTATAACCTCAAAATCCACTACCTTTTTAGAAAAATGGTTTGTACAATTAAGAAAATCTTTTTTTTATTCAGACCACGACGTTTACTCCGTTTTCAATTACCTTATAATTGAAAGTAGATTTGCAAATAGACACAGTTGAGCTTGATAAAATCATCAAATACATCACTGCTTAACATTATTATCTTTCTATTACATAAAATAAATTTTAAAAGCCATAAGCATTTATTTACGCACGATTGTTTACAGAGACAACCTGTCCAACCTCCATGCTGAAATGGATAGTTTTTTGCGCCTCTATCGTAGGAGAGTTACAATCTGGAAACTGGCGTATTAGTATGCATTTCCCCCATTCATGAATTAACTATCCTTAACCTTCTGAGCCTTCCATCTTATATATACGAGGGTTGTCCCAGAAAAACGCGAACATTTTTATATCTTTTGTTTCACTGAGACTATAAAGTTCAAAATTGGCATACATCATGATCAACTTCTTTTGAATGATGCCTAAAAATTTCAGTGTTGTATCTCTAAAAATAAAATTTTCCTGTCACGTAAACGAATCTATCAAATCAGCTGTCGGAGCAACACTGACGACGTCAAGACGTATCTCGTAGTGTTTAAGAATTTGTTCTGAAATCTGTGTGTATAAATATTCATTTTTAAAGCACACATTCGGCAATGTATTTAATTTTGTTTTTGTTACCAAATTATACATCTCAAATACTAGTGTTACTAGAAGACTGGGGAGTTAATTCTCTCAATAGACAATTTTGCATTCCTGATCATAAACCTACTTGATCGAATTATTTAACAGTGGTCTTCACGTAGGCCTTAGATGTCCTGCTATTGTCTTTTCATTTCGTCTTTTTTTAAGTGGTCTATTCTCTTCTATCTGATAACCAGTCAAGTTAACCTGAAACCTCTTCTACTAGATATATACATGTTCCCAAAATTATGTTTGTGTTTTTTCATCGCTAACATTTTTTTCTCTATATACAGGAGTAATATCCCGCTCAACATAGTGTTGCTTGATAATTTGGTGCTCCTCATTACCGCTTAACGTCACCATTTTTGACAATGTCTTATTCAAAGCGCTTTGGTATATATGTGCATATAACTGTCATTAATGATGTCAAATAAATGAAAAAAACACATGTACACCTAATCATAGCGTATTTATGTAAGTAAAATTTTTAACATTATACTGTCATATAGCATGATAACAACGAAAACTTCAAACACAATGTTATTTGTAAAAGTAAAAAAAATGTTGTGCGCCGACCACCGATATTTAAAATCATTTAAATGCTGTTTTTATATGCAACTGACATCACAGACCTATAATATTTGCTCAGAATATCTAAAAGATGATTTCCAAACAGCATGCCAAAATTTATTATTTTTGGTTGAATAGTATTTGAAATACTCAAAAAGTTCGCGTTTTTCTGTGACAACCCTCGTATTTATACATGATACAGAAACAATAGGTTATGTTGCACTCTGCCACCACTGTGACTTTATCAATTAAGCCAATTTTAATTACATAAAATGATGTAAATCACATTAAATAGTCACGTACATGTAATCATAACCCCATAAAAATTTGAAATACAATTATGAATATTTGATTTTTTTATCCTCATATTATTTTTTGGTATACATCCTTTGTATCCATCATATCCTGTAGTATTCTATAAAAACAGGAAAAATTCTTTAATATTTGGCATTTTGAGATGCCCCCTCTAGAACAAGCAGGGGGAATTTTGTGTTTCTTACATATAAAATACAATTAAAGTATTACTTATAATATACATGTATGTTAGTTTGAACAAAAAGGCTATTGTAGTAAAATTTGTTTGAAACTGCAAAAAAAAAAAAAACAAAAACTAGTACTTTCCTATAACCCTATATATGGTAAACGTACCTTTATTTAGAGCCGGTCCCTTGAAATACGCAAACGGTATAGATTTCTCCTAAACTTGGCACGTACACTGAAGTCAATGTAAGTTATATATGGTATAAAAGATAAAAAGTTTATTACTATGGTAGTTTTCACAAAATAAAACCCAAGTCGGCTCCTTCGAATTCCCTTCAATATTTCTACAATATTAGACAGTGAGATCCTAGTAATTTTTTTACGAGCGGTAAACGTTTACCCAAATTGACAGATAAATTCAAATAAGAAATTGAAGTATTATTGTTATATCCACATTTAAAGAAATGCCTCATTTCCTTATTAAAGGTAAAGAACACGATGATCAACTGCACAAAGGGAGAGGCGACATAGATATGTTTTTCTGTAAACCATCAAGTCTTCAAAGTAAGTATACAAATCACATTTTGATGATATTGTACATTTATTGAGTTGGAGGGCAACATGTGTTTTGTCGGACCGAAGAAGCAAACTGTCTGCCTGATGCTTTGTGTACATATATACCTTTCATTTATTTTCTTTTTCGACATGCATGTATTTTTTTCTGTCTTCCTTGATGTAACCTCAGGTTACCTTTTGAACACCAACTGTTTTCAAAACTTTTTTTCTCTCTTTCCAATAATAAATTGGATTGTTTTTGCTTGCCCATAGTAATACAATGATCAACATACGAAGAAAACACCCGACCCTATACCTGCATTCACTTTTAATTTCATAATCAATGTGCACATGTCGACAACATCAAAACTATACTCAATCTCTATATAATTATATTATTATAATCAAAGTTAAATAAATGTTTATGAGTACAGTTCAAACATAGAAAAGTCACTTTAAGATTTAGTAATGTCTATAAAAGGCGTTACTAAACCTGTCTCCGTTCTAACTAATTTGTGAAATGAGTTTTTTCATTGTCTTTATATTTAAATTAATTTCATGATGTTTTGTGTTGTAACACAACCAAAAACATTAACTATATATTTTTTTTTATTACATATTGGTTTATTACATTTTATTTTGTCTTAAACGCAATAATTAATTGACGCAAAATGTAAGAACAAAAAAGTACGTTTATCGTTGATCTCCACGCAAAATATTATAACACAAAATGTTATAACCCAAAAATCGTTAAATTATATTTTGCATTATTACATTGTACAATGAGATCAACGCAAAATGTAAAAACGCAAAATGTAATTACCCCAGTTTATTACATTTTGTATTGTTAAGTATACATTGCTTTTTAAATTAGTGTAAATGGTATATTCTCATAAAAACAATCTCTTTAACATTTTGATCTCAGTATACATGTATGTATTTCACATTCAAATTCTCATTCTCTTAATTTTGCCTAACAAGGGCTAAAACATAAAATTTTAATATGTAAGCCATTTCAACCTTCATTTTGATACCTAATCCAAAGAAAATCTCAGTAAGGATGTATAGTATACACCTATTTACTTGCTATGAGGACAATACCAAGTTTATCGTCCCCCAAGACAGCAAACTATTTCCCGAGGCGCAGCCGAGGCTATTGTTCGAGTAGTCAGTAAATAGGTGTTTTATTATACCGATGCTGACTTTACTTTTGTTACGTCATAATATATACGTCACAATCCATGTAAAATCAGAAGTTTTCAGAGATGAAAAGCGAGGGAAATGCTGCCGTTGAATAGTTTAAGGACTATTCACCATGGGCAAATAGCACAAAAACTATTTCACGGTAGAGACTGTTTAGAAAAAATAGCATGTTTATTCGTCTTATTTTTATATAGAAAAAATAAACAGAGGTATATTAACAATAATTATTGATAGAATATCCGACAATTATATGAATCGCAGTACTGTTAAAGGATTTTTTTAAGGAATCAATGAAAAATAGAGGAGAACAAATCGATACCTTTTTGATACTTTTTATTAATCAGTATTAATTAATACTGATGCATTAATGTCAACCTTCCTACATTCAAACTGCACTTTTACAATTTCTGAAAAACAAAATCTTTGAATATAATAAATGAAAACTGAACTTTGACCCTTAATTTGTTCATGAAGATGATTCAAGTAAATAATTGAAATATCCTTCATTTATCTTCAAAACTGTTAAAATCAATTAATTTTATGCCCTTGCGAACTCGCGATATATTTGGCACTTCGATGTTTAACATGCAAATCCTGTAAACAAAAAAACGAAAGAATAAATTCAATTATTTTTTTTTATAATTATTAAAAACAAACCCTTAAAATTGGCATTGATTGTTTACCTAAAATCTGTGAATAATATTCTGTTCTATAGTAAAATGATTTTTTCAGTGTAGAAAAAAAATACTTGATCTGTATTTCACAGCACATAAAATACGTCAATTTAAACAAAATAGTACGCCATATCGTCAAGTCCATTGCTATCAGTAATTTGTTTATAACATGCTGTGTGGAATTTAACTAGCAACAAAAAATAATGCATTTGCAAATTTTGATGTTGCTTATTTCGCTAAGATAGTTTTAAATAGGAAATTATTTCTTTTTCTGGTATTATGAAAACTAGCAATTTTGAGGTGAAGTCACCGTGAACTTTTCTTGTATAAATAAAGCCCCGTCCCCCTTTATGCAGCAATGGCAATAAATGATCAGAATCTAGACCATTATTGGTATGATTTCATCACGAAAATGGCCTATCAAATATCACATTGTACGATGTCTATATACGTAAACATAAAAAACAGTTTTAATATCAAAAATGCTTCTTTATCGATTTTTAATTGCTCTGATTCCTTATTTTCAATATTGTAATTCAATTATCTATGTGTTTTTTTTTCTTTAAAGGAACAGACTTAGAAAACATGATAGGTAATTATCATTCAAAGTTACAACGATTTGATTAATTTTATTTACTGCAGAAAAGAGAGTTTCGTTTTTTTTTCTTCTGTGTAAGTAGTTTGATTTGATATTCCAAGTTATTTTTTGAAATTCTTTTCCTAAAATCGAATCTATTTAAAAATGATGATAATGCTTGTTTTTATCCTTGAAAGACACAACCAGGAAGATGCTGGTGCAATTTGAAATGGATATTCGTGATTTCTTCGTAACCACTCGGGCAAATGAGAAGGTATACAAGGTATTAGAGAAGACAAGGTGTGTTTTCGTAAAAGGCAATCCGGGGGACGGTAAGACAACCATAGCTAAGCATATTCTGTTTACACTGATGAAGGAAAAACAGGTACTTCCACTACAGATGCTTTCCCTGAAGAAATTTTATGAAATGGTGCCGAGTTCTTCTAGACTTGTAATATTTCTTGATAATATGTTTGGTGAAAGGTCTGTGTCCAAGGAAGAGATACAATATTTTAATGCTCAGAAAGATTTGATAAAAACTATTCTATCCGAAAATAACGATGGAAATGGAAATTTTTTTATAGCCACTTTAAGAAATGATATTTATCGGGAATGTGAAGGCACAATTTTGGACATAAATGTATTTGAAGATGCAATTGTTGATTTATCTGACACAGAAAATAGAATAAATAGAGAAGAATTTGAAAACTTTGTGTCGAAGTACAAATTACATGATTCTATAGTGTCTGATGATGAAGTATTAAATTCCAGAAACCTTTTTTCTACAATTGGCATTCCACAGTGTATTAAAATATCTGAAAAAATTGCACAGAGAAAAGAAAACATCTGTGACGTTTTGAAGAACCCATTTGAACATTTACAAAAGGAAATAATGCTGAGAATACAAGACAAAGAACACAAAACTGCCGTTCTGATATACATCTTACTATGTGGGGGAAGCGTGAAAGATGAAAAAATGAAGAATCCTCGCAAAGATAGAGAGAAAAAGAAGAAAGCTTTAAGAATAATGGAATTAAAAGAAAACGTATCGTCCTTATCCAAGTTTCAAGATTCTGTAAGGTTTTATGAAGGGTCTTATATTTATCATGATGACATGGATAATGAATATAGATTTACGCATAGTTCTATACAAGAAAGTTTTTTTCTGTATCTGTGTCATTATTATCCTGAAGATATTTTAAGCACTTGTGATCCCTCCCTGTTTTTATCTTTAACAACAACAACAACAACAGAAATATCACCAGATTTGTTTCCAGTCCTCATAGAAAGAATCATTGTTATTTTTAAAGAAAAGAAAGTTTCAGAATACAGATGTATTTCATATATGACCCTTTGGTCTGAGGTTAAGTTTACAAAGGAGATAAAGCAAAATAAGGAATGTATAAAGATTATGAAAAACAATGTCGATGAAAATGGTGACTCAATGTTGGTTCATTTTTCAGGGGCTGGACATAGTCATTGGGTGGCGTATTTATTATCATGTTCATCAGAAAATCAGAGATATACGTCATTAAATAGGGCCTGCATGTATAATCGTATCTGCATTGTAGACCTCATTTTAGAGGCAAATGTTATTTGTGATCTTAAAACATGTTTCTATGCTGTCCAAAGTGGAAACAGTGAGATTCTTTTCCGTTTTACAGACAATGTGGACCTAAATCAAATAGAGTTTTCAAATCATCCCAGATGGTCCTCCTTTAGAGGTAGTTTGCTTCAAGAAATCTGTTTCTTTGGCCAAAATCAATTAATTGAACCTATTCTCAGGCGTTATCCGATCGTTCGTGATGTTAAAAATGAACAAGGTGGTAATGCTCTTCATTTTGTTGCATTTGCGGGACAAAAAGATTCCTTTCAAATGTTGGTAAACAGTGGGTCTGACCCGTACTCTAGAAGTCATTTAGGTACTACTGTTCTTCATTATGCTTGTCAAAATGGTAAGTTAAATATGGTAAAGTATATTTGTGACACTTATCCTAAGTTATTGACAAAGAGCTTTGATGACTATGAGGGGCATTCTTCTCTTCACTGGGCGGCACAATCCGGAAATATTGAGTTATATCAATACCTCTTAGAAAAAGATATTAATGTATCATTTCGCAACGGTTTTCCTTCCCCATTAAATATGGCTTGTGAAAATGAACAAATTCAGATGTGTAAATACCTGTTAAAAAATAATCCTGAACTACTTAAAAGTATTGATAAAGATGGGAAAACTGCGTTACATGCTGCAGCTTCGGGGGGTAATATTGATATTTTTAAACATCTCACAGACAAAGGATTTGATATTAGAAATACAACAAACATCGGTAAAACAGTTCTACATCAGTGCTGTATGAATGGCAGGTTAGAAATGTGTAAGTACTTGATCAAACATTACCCCGACCTTATGAATGTCATTGACAATAATGGGTACACAGTTCTACATGACGCAGCAAAGACAGATAACGTTGAATTATTCTACTATCTATCATCTGTGTGCAAGGACCTCAATAATCTTACAAAAAAGGGGAAATCTGTTCTTCATATTTCATGCCTGTGGGGCAATTTTGAAATGTGTAAATATCTAGCTGATGCTTACCCCAAACTAGTTGAAGTCATCGACAATGATGGAGAAAGTGTTCTTCATGACGCAGCCTGGGGAGGAAATATTGATGTACTCAAGTTACTTATAGACAAAGGCGTAGGCATAAAAAGTACAACAAGCATCGGTAAAACAGTTCTTCATCAGAGCTGTATGAATGGTGAGTTAGCAATGTGTAAGTACTTGGCAAAAATTACCCTGACCTTTTGAATGTCATTGACAATGACGGGTACACAATTCTACATGACGCAGCTAAGAAA